AAATACCTCGCCACAAGGGGACGAGGGGGGGTAAAGATGCTCAGATTACAACTGTTAGTACAGTAAATGCACTGGCATGTGCATATTTAAAGATCATACCGGTCGAGTTGCATGGGCCTAGAGGAAAGGTCAGGACAACAGCTCTTCTGGATGAGGGATCGACCATGACACTCATAGAGGAGTGGATGGCTCAGAAGTTAGCGCCTCGCGGACGTAAAGAGGGATTACGTATCGAAGCCGTGGGATGTAAGCGAATTAACGACGATAGTTCGTATCGCTTAAACGTTAAAATAAAAGGCATTTATTCGAGCGACTTAGAAGAGATAAGTGTACAAACAATTAAGTCACTTAACCTCGCTCCTCAGTCGGTAAGCCGAGAATTATTGCAACGGTGTTCTCATTTGACACCGATCAAGGATGAGTTGATGTATGAGAGGTCCAAGCCTACCATATTGATTGGTCAGGACAATTGGCATCTCATAGTTACTCGTGAATTGGTTTCGGGAGGTAAGAACCTACCTGTAGCATCGCTCACCAAACTGGGGTGGGTTTTGCATGGTCACATATCGGGTGGCATTAAACCAATCAAGATTGTTAACCACATTTCCACCAAGAAGGAGGAAGATATGGATAAATTAATCAAGGATTATTTTAGTTTGGAATCTCTGGGAGTATCGGCTAGAAAGCCCGTGAACGACCCAGAAGAACGAGCTTTAAATATTTTGAACAAAACGGTACGTCGTATACCTAATAATAGGTACGAGACTGCTTTGTTATGGCGCACAGACAATGAGTGCTTGCCATCGAATAGGGCACAGGTTGAAAGTCGCCTGTTTAATATTGAGAAAAAGCTCGACATAAATAGCTTAGAAACAGGTGAAGAAAAATCGCCAAAGGGCGTAAATACGTTAAGAAAGCAAGAACCGTTAAGTCTACCCGACTACGGACGATTTAGCAGCTTTAAGAAATTCCTTGGAGCAACTACACGCACCTTACAAGCGGTAGAAAAATTCAAGAGTTTAAGAAAGTCGGTTAGAGGACCCGACGACGCAACCGAAAAGTCGGTTATGTGTTCCAACAAAGTTTTAGCAAAGTCGGTTAAAGGACCCGATAGCGCGTTGGACACAGCGCTCTTGAAAAAGGCGGAAATATTAATTTGGAAATTCATTCAAGACGAGTGTTTTCATTCGGAAATAAAATGTTTGAAAGCAGGCAAAAGCGTTGAAAGAAGTTCACGCTTAAGTAAATTATCTATGGAAATAGGAGAGGATAACTTACTCCGTTTAAATGGACGTTTACCTTTCAAGTCTAATTTGACCGAGGAAAGTAGAAAACCTGTCATATTAGACGGTAAACACGAAATCGTTAAAATGATGATTAGAGAAGTTCATCATCATTTTGGACACGCCAATCACCAGACGGTGATGAATGAGGTGAACCAGAAATTTTACGTCTTGAACTTGCGTAATGTAGTACGAAGTGTGTCACACCATTGTCAGTGGTGCAGGACATACAGGTCAAAGCCGCAAAACGTGCCACAAGGAAATATTCCTCTGGAAAGAATAGCTCATCATGAGCCACCTTTTACATGCTCAGCTGTAGATTATTTTGGTCCTATGAGTGTGACTATAGGAAGGCGACACGAAAAACGTTGGGGCGTTTTATTCACGTGTCTGACCACCAGAGCAGTACATCTGGAATTAGCAGCCTCATTGACACCAGCGTCAATGATAATGGCGTTAAGGCGATTTATCGCCAGAAGAGGAAAACCAGCCGTTATATACAGCGATAACGGGACAAATTTCAAAGCTGCAAATAAAGAATTATTGAAAGCATGCGAAGAATGCTATGAGGGCATGAAAAACGAGTCATTTAAGAAATATATTAAATGGAAATTTATACCTCCGGGAGCACCGCGCATGGGTGGCGCCTGGGAGAGGTTAGTAAGATCGATTAAAATTGCGTTGACCGCTACGCTTAAGGAGAAGAGCCCACGAGAGGAGGTTCTACATACGTTACTTTTAGAAGCAGAGCATACGGTAAATTCCAGACCTCTGGTAACATTCAGTATGGATAGTCCTGAAGAGGGTTTGACACCCAATCATTTTCTTCTGGGACGCTCATGTGGTGATCGACCACCTGGATTATTTTTAGAGCGACATCTGACGGGTCAACTCAATTGGAAAGCTGCACAGAGGTTAGCCGACCATTTTTGGACAAGATGGCTGAAAGAATACATGCCTACGTTAATACCTCGAACAGGTGATAACGGCAAGTTCATGGAACCTAAAGAAGGCGATATTGTTTTGATAATAGATCATTCGTTGCCACGAAATACGTGGCCAAAAGGTAAAATTAGTAGAACGTTACCGGGACCAGACGGTCACACCAGAGTGGTTGACGTCATTACTAGCACAGGTATCTTGAGGAGACCTACATCCAGAATAATAGTCCTGGTACCCGCGACGCCTCCCAAATGATGGTGCTAACGCACGGGGGGAGATTGTTGGCGACGCGCCTATAAAAATGTTTCAGTTTATTAAATCAACCGATGACGTTGCTATGAAAAAAGGGGTAGTCACGAGCAACGACGCTCTGATAAGAGAATGCTTAGTTAAATCTTTAAGAAATGTCGAATTAATGATATGAAGGTCTTGGGTTCGACTCCCAGGCCGGACTAGTTTGTTTGTTTTCCTAAGTAATATCGCTTAATAAATTCGTAAGGAATTTAAGATATAAATTATGTTACCGGATTTGTTCCCCGGTTGAAATCATCTTTCAAATGATGTAAATTCATAAGAATATTAAAGTGAAGTTAAAGATCGGATTTGTTCCCCGGTCGAGATAATCACTCTGTGCATAGGCAGAATTAATGGATATTAATTGCATAAATGTTGTTTTGTATAAGTTTGATACGTGTTGTACGAAAACAAATGCCTATTTGTTATGATTGATTAATGAGAACATTCATTTATATTGTTATCTGATTAAAGATAGTTTCATACAGTTCGAAAATTGTATAAAAGCATTTAATTTGCCTAATGTGGTCAAAATTGGTGTATTTCATAATTTAATTTTTTCTGATAGCCGAGAGCCGTGCAAAGTTAGTTGTTCACATAGCGTGAGTACACGGAAGCACGCTGGCCACGCCCTTAGGAGGCCGAATATGTAAAAATTTAAAATGTTTGTAATTCAGTGATTTATGTAAAAATTACTTGTAAAATATTTCAGGTTAATTGTACGTGCTAAAAAGGTAAATTCTGTGTTATTTTCATGTGAAAATTCCTGTGTATAAGTGAAATAATGATAGTTTTGTATAAGAAATTTAAAAGTGTGTTTTAAATAGTGAAATAAATAGAAAAAATGTAAATTAAACTATTGTATTGGTTAGCTTATATATAAATTCAAGTGAGAAACATTGTTTTAACTTTCTGTGTTAAATATTTAAGAAATTTCGATTTCGAACTTGTGAGTAAAATAGGCAGTTTTCGTTTAATAAATAAAAGGTTTTTTATGATATGAAGATATGATGTATATCATGGTGTAGATATTGTTTTGTACTACCTATATTGATAAATTGTATTTGTATATGATTTGAATAAATAAAGATATTGAGTGAAACGTGAGAGAGTAATAGTACAAATTCATGTAATTAAGTTGCGCAAGCGCGCAGATGGCGCGGCTCACTTTCGCGTTTAGCTTAGGGGTAGGATAGTAAATTGATTTTATTGCAATTCGTTCGGGAATGGTTCGGGAAATATTCAAGGAAATCGTTCGGGAATCGTTCGGGAAATATTCAAGGAAATAGTTCGGAAATAAATAAGAAAATCCGGGAAAAAGTTCAAGAAAAGTGAAAAACCAGCAGTATAGGGAAAAGTGATTACTCTCTCACGGAACGGTTTGAAGATAATTGCTGTTTCATTCCCAAGATCCTTTAAGTTATACAGTCCACATCGAAGAATTAAGGCGTCGGGACCGGGACGACTTCGGAAGACCCGTAATCCCCGTCTGAACCTACTTGCTGAAAAGGAAGAGGTTATCGCCCTAGTGTGTTACTCCGTTGCGGAGATCACATACGTTGTTCCCGAACCCAACGTAGGCGTGATAGGAGGCCGGATCGAGAGAAGCCTCGATTCCTGTTTCTTAGTACCCGATCCGCTAGGTCCTTTTCAATTGGTCCTTTTCAGGATCAAGAGGGACACCGACCTGGTCCTTTTCATGCAGTGTATGCACCGCAGTTGAATGGAACATATTAGCTGAATGCAGTGTCGCCTCTAGTACGTAGTATATATTAGCTCAATGTTCACGACTGTCAAATGTCAACTTGGCAGTGACAAAGCAGACCATAGATTACTGACTATGTACTAGAGACTATGTACTATGTGCGTAGTGCACCGCGCATGGAACATGGATTGCTTCGTATGTATAGACCTAATATGTTTATATATTAGGTCCCCTCTAGTTCGAATAAAAGTAAGTCTAGTTTACGTGTCCACACTAAAGATGGCAGCACAAAAAAATATCAATTTGTTCTCAAAATAAAGTTGCGTGCCCATGATTATACTAATTACATTGTTTTGTTTAATGAGTGTTTTTAGATTATTTAGTTAAGTTGTGGTATTGGTTTTATTGTAACTAAATATAAAATGCCACAAGTGGCGCCATCTATTTTAAGCTATGTTCACTTACACCTTTTGTTTAAAAATAAAGTTCAGTCTGTTTCAAGCTACTATCTGTGCATTTTATTATAAGTATAGGGCTAATCTTATGGAGCCGATCATGTTGTGCGTGTTCCCTGGGTAAATGTGTTTCATTGTTGTTAAAATCAAGATATCTTCTAATAGTCTCAAATCTGTTGACTGTCATAATTTTTTTGATTGATTCAAAACCTACAGTGTTAGACCAGTAAAGCCTAACATTGGGATATTTTATGACAGATATGTATAACAATATTGCCATGAATTGTTTTAGTTCAGTTTCAGATATATTCAATGGTTTTGTTACATTTTTTGAACAGAGTATAGATAAGACTCTTCTACGATTTTCTGAATTATTCCAGATGTAATAAAATACAAAAAAATACTATATGGAGTACCAGTAGTAGTTTGATCCCTCAATTCTGGTGGGTATGTGGTGTTGCCAAGAAAAGTAGTCTGGTCAGAATTCAAAACAAACTTTTTCACCTTCCAAGCAAGTCCTTTCATGGTAGCTCGGCGACTGGCTTGACTTGTTGATGGAAATGGAACCTGAGGCTCTTGATCTTTTGCAGGGCTTTCATTTGTCAATGGTGGCTCTTCTGCCAAGATAGGATCATCATCATCTTCATCATTTTCCTCCTTAATAGGATTCTCATGATCACGAAGTATATCTTCTCGGTTTTCATAAAAATTCTCATGTTCTTCTGCATCAGACTCCTCAAGATAATCTTCAGATCTCTCTCCGTCATTAATTTGAGCTAAATATTGTTCTATTTGCTTCTGATTCAAGAATGACATCTCAAAAAATAAGAAATTGGTGATCAGAGCCTAAACAGCGACATTCTCTAGTAAATGCATAATGTTGTAGATTTAAAACATCGATATCCACGAGATTTCATAAAAAACCAAATGTTTATTTTCCAAACTAATAACTGTATCGAAAAAAGAGAATTATTCTATATAAAAACCATTTTTATTTGTACTCACCTTCAAAAATCAATTAATTACACAACAAAACAACCACACAATTTTAACCTGCTCCAGAATTCACAATAGTCTGCATTTCAGAACTCTTTAAATATTCTAATTTTACAAATTTATTATAAACTGGTTCCCGTATAAAATGAAATTTTATATCTATATGTTTGCTACGTCTATGATATACAGAATTTTCAGTAAATTTTAGAGCACTTTGGTTGTCATTATAAATCAGAATAGGCATATTATTTTGTCTGTTAATTCACATAATAGATTTTTCAAGAAAATTGCCTCTGCTAGCTTCACACACAGCCATGTATTCGGCTTCGTTGCTTGATAAAGCTACCGTCTGTTGCTTTCTACTTTTATGAGATACTAGACAACCTGAGTATACAAAACAATATCCTGTATAAGATCCTCTATCTAAATTGTCAGATGACCAATCAGCATCAGCGAAACCAATTAAATCTAAATTATCTTTAACATATTTTAAACCAAATGACTTTGTACAACTCAAATATTTTAAAACTCTTTTAGCATGTTTCTAGTGTGTTTCTATATTACAGTTATTAAACTGACTTAACTAATACAATATGTGATATCGGGTCTAGTCAAAACTGAGAGATACATTAAGCTCCCTATCAGCTGTTGATAAGGAAATTTGGAATTTAAAATTTTTCTTTTTTCCAATTTCAAATTAATTTCCATAGGGGTTTCTACATTTTTACAGTTTTCCAGACAAATGTATACAATAATTTATCAGTAAAACTTTCTTGACTAATAGAAATAGAATCTTTTTGTATCTTAATATCCATACCTAGACACTGTCTTAACTGACCTAGGTCTTTTAATTTAAATCTTTTGCTTAATTGACATTTTAAATATTTCACTTCTTTATTACAGTTAGAAAATATGAAAAAGTCGTCAACAAATAAAGCCACAAATGTTTTAACATTTTCTAATTATTTTATAAATAAACAATGTTCATACAATGACTTTTTATAGCTCAACTTTTGTAAACAGCCATCGACCTGCTTATACCAGGCCCTAGCTGACTTAGCCCATATATGGTTCTTTTTAATTTTAAAACTTTATTCTGATCCATATCACATTTGAAATTCTGAGGTAACTGCATATAAACAATCTCATCTAAGTGGCCATTTAAAAATGCTGTGGTTACGTCTAAATGGGATATGTTAAGATCTAATTTAACACATAAAGCAAATAACAATTTTAAAGTGGAATATTTAAGCACGGTTGAAAAAGTTTCTTTAGTCTATGCCTTCACATTGTGTGAAACCTTTTGCAACTAATCTTGCTCTATATTGCAGTGTGTTATCAATGTTTAATTTCTTTTTATACACCCACATGCACTGTACCACCTTAGCATCACTTGGTTTGTTTACTAACTCCCAAGTTTCGTTTTCTTCAAAGGGTTTGAGCTCTTCCTCCATGGCGTTTCACCACTGCTCTCGTTCAGGTCCACTCATTACCTCCTCATATGTGAAATTGTTCTCGTCCAAGCCCTCATCAATTTTACATATATTACTATATCCGTATCTGTCTGGTTTTCTTTTTGCTCTCTTCCCAATGTCAACAAACTCTGGTCCTAGACTTTCAGCTTCATCACACAGAGACCTGCTATCTATCACAGAATTCTTCTGAGCTGGACGAGCTAGTAGCCACATCGGGTATGTAAGTATCATCCTATTCAGTGATTAAACTATCTTCTTCTAGACTCGGAGTGGTATCTTGGTCATCTTCATCTTCATTAGTTGGCTCAATATCTTTGGTGTCTTCCACCACTGCTTGTATTATATCAGAGTTTTTTTTTCTCCATAATGAAAACGTCTCTGCTGGTAGTAATACTCTCCAACCCTTGTATTTTCGGTATAACCGATCATGATGTATTCTTCAGATTTTTTTATCCCATTTAGTTCTCTTCGCTTTAAGAACATGGACCATTGCACGACTTCCGAATATCCGAACGTGGCTGAGATCTGGTTTTTTATTATTCCATAGCTCATATGGTGTTTTTTGTAGACTCGAAGCTAGCGTTCTATTCCGTAAATAGACGGCAGTATTGACTGCTTCTGTCCAAAATTTTTTATCAAGATTTGCTTCAAACAGAAGACATCGAGCTCTCTCCACAACTGTTCTATTTAACCGTTCGCAAAGACCATTTTGTTCTGGTGTATACGGGTTTGTTGTTTGATGCACTATTCCATTTTTCTTTAAGTAGTCAACAAATTCCGCAGAGCAAAACTCCCCACCATTATCTGTTCTTAAAACTTTCAATTTCTTTTCTGTCTGTGTTTCAAATTTTGACAAAAAGGCGTGGCTCGTTCCGTTTTTATCAATTTCCGAACTCATGTCTAATAACTTCGACTTGATAATGTCCCTACGAGCACTTAACCCTATAGAGAAGTAATACATGCGAATTTAAAGGAAAACAATTTTGTCAACTAGTTGCGGCGCGGGGGGAGCTGTGATCGCTGCGAAGTACTACGAACTATTCCGAAGAGATTCCGAACATGATCGCTAGGGCGTGCATTGTAATGAATTTATGCTTTCTATCGATATTGATAAATTTTTTCGCTTTTTTAATACATACTTTCAGTATCAGCAACTGGCTTTCGACTGTGACTTATAAAAAAAGCCCCGTAGGAGATACGCAAGATAGTTCGGCTCAAGGTCGAGGCACTATGAGGCAGTACGGAGGGATTGAAAAGAGAATAAAAAAGATTTTCATGTTTATTTATTATATTTATTTTATTAAGTGCTATTTATTATTGATTTTTAAAATGAATTAATTTTGTATATATTCTCCTAATTGCACATTTTCCTTCCAATTTTTGATTTTTAAGTATAAATGTCATTCTTGTGTCAATATATTTCTTTATTATACTTTTCGTTAAATCAATAATATGATTGGTTTCTTCGGCGTAAAATTGATGATGTGTATACTCCGGGAATAATTATTCTTCTGTAAAGTTGCTAAGAGCTTTATTGGTCAACAGTTCAGCGGTGATTTTTCCTTTAGAGTCACTATTAATAAAATCTTTCTTGATTACGGACTCGCGTACGGGATTTGTGAGGGATAAATTAACCCTCCATTATCTTTGTAGAATATTAGACTCTTTTTATTTTATTTTAATGACACTAAAGCCTTTAAACAGGTATTGCATCTGAGGCAAAAACAGCGTAGGTACTGCACTTCTCTTTAGTCGCCGCTTCTTGTTTTTCATCAAAAAACAATTCTCAGTAAAATGTTTTGAGTACATGACGCTATATTTTGATGGAAACCAATTTTCTCTTTTTGTAACGTTTATCCATTTGTTTTTCATATTACCATCTTTTGGAAACCTATAGGGAAAAATCATACAGTTTAAATAAAATAATACTGTTATCATATTTATCCAAAGGTCATACAGGAAAAGAATAATTAATATTATAAAGTGTTACTAAGAGTAGTAAATAATAATCTACTACTCTTAGTAATACTATATATATATATATATATATATATATATATGTATATATATATAATTAATATTAATAATGATTATGATCTGTCTATATCTAATATATCCAAAACAACGATATCTAAATACAATAATCATTTTGTGGATAATTATCGACAATACGAAATAAATATACCGCACTGCACTAGTCATTAGCGTAACGAGGCTAATTATGATAAGGAGAGATAGATATACTTGTTTGCAGTAAAAAAATAAAAACTTGACCCTCGTTGCGTAATAAAAATGTTGAAAATATTTTGGTAAAATAAAGAAATGTACTTACCGATGAAAAGTAATATTGTTGTTACACTACATGTTTTACTGTTGTTTCCGCACCATTTAACGGCAAAACAAGACATGATTCCGTAAATTGATTTTAATTTATATTTTAAATGTAAGCCGTCTCTTCGGTTCTAGTTTTTGGTGGCTACTGGCGGGAGACAAAAGTGTTCCGAAATATATCAACTGACGAGTTTACAGGTTCGGGTCGCCTTGTATTACGTCTCTATAGGGTTAAGTGCTCGTAGTAATGTCCGTACTGATAACCATGCCGGAGTGTTCTATGGCCATTATCATAGGAGCGAACGCAACACGACCGAAAACCGGTACTTTTTAGTTTCTGTGCAGTATCCACCATTTGTGTAACGTATGTACCCATTGATTCGCAATCTTCCAATCGAATAGAAATTAGCTGACGTAGTAGGCTGATGCGACGCGTAAAACCAGAGTCGTCATAAAGACACTTCAAGCGTTTCCACACACCTTGAACTGTTTGCTCATTTTTGATGTGAACATAAATGGATTAATCGATTGTCATGATGAGTTTTGCTTTTGCCTGTTTTTCTTCAACGGAACTTTCATTAGTCGATTCCTGTTTATGAATATCCACACCTTCATATCCGCCCTTTTAGTTTAGGCACATTTACTATGTAACTTCCAGCCATTTTGCAAAAATTCACCACGCCACGAGGTAGCCGACAGTCAATCAGGATATAAGTCCACAAAAGAGCAATTTGATTTATATTTTAATATCAAAGGATACACTGATAGTCCACGAAAAGTAAACAATTCTGAATAAAACCTCAATCTTTCGCGAATTATGCGCTGGGCCCATAACCTAATAAAACGCACAGATAGTAGCTAAAACAGACTGAACTTTATTTACAAAAGGTGTAAGTGAACATAGCTTAATCTAGATGGCGCCACTTGTAGCATTTTATATTTAGTTACAATAAAACCAATAACTTAGCCATCTAAATGAGAAATTGTTCCTATTGAATTGAAACAGTTCCTATG